TTATCCCAATCAGTCTGAGCTACTCTTTCCAGCCACTCATTAATTTTAAATTTGAAAAACCTTCATGAATGACCACAGAATGGTTGTGGCCTAATATAATATGACGTCGACCCTTTTCTGACTAGATCATCTGCTTTTTCGTTTCTCTCAATACCGTTGTGCTTTGGCACCTATATTAAGTGAACCCTGTTGCTTTCAATAAGGTCTTTGAGAAGTAGATGGCATTCCCATGCTAGTTTTGAGGTTACTCGAGGTAAGCGTAGTGTTAGAGAAAACATATATGTCTTTTCCCGTAACGAATTTCCCTTTATATTCCCTTAGACGTATGTATTTCAATTGCTTGTACTTAGGCCTGAAAAACTGAGTTTTCTTGACTTTTGGAGACATCCGTGTACCACATATGGTAGTATCCAATGAATAGAGATATCTTCCGTTCCCATTCATTTCTGTCAGGTATTAGTACTAGGAACTTTTGCTGGAAGTTGAATTTAGGTGAGGAAATGTCAGATATGATGATGTTTAGTTCTTCCTCTCAATGCATTCCCTTACCTAACAGGGAGTTATTGAATGATATTGTTGTTTGAAATCTTGTCAACTGTAGCTTGGCTATTAAAGTCATTAATTTTACTCTAAAATAAGAATCTTCCTGCTCAAGAAAATATGTTGCTGTATCCTTCGCAATTAACATGAACAAAAGATGTTCCAAAGTAGAATTTTTAACAGTTATATTAGTATACACCCTCTTAATACAAGTTTAGCTAATCACAGCATATGGCGACTTTAAAAATTCTATCTGTAATCTTTTGGGAACCAGACTTATACATTATTGTGAAAACAGGAAGTTGTGTCGTTATCAAAACCAATTAACAAATTAACCAAAACAGTGTTTACTGTTTGAATTAAATCAGCAAAATTACTTATTGAATTGATTTTATTAAGATTATTATTAAATTATTAATACGATTATTTTTAAAAATCATCGATTATAATAGATTTAAGCTTCTTATTGGAATCCAAGCAAACTCTTACATATCATTGCACCCCCGTTCATATATTGTTTAATATTATATATTAATAATTATATCTGTATGTACATCATTCACTGTCAAACAATGTCACTAAAAGGTGTAACATTACAAACACTTTGCTATCCTTTCCCTTTATGAGTGAAGTAAGTAAGGTTATCCATAACTTCAAGATCTCATTTCTTTATGACAGGCACTATATTTACAACTTCTGTTCTCGTTAGTTGCAGTTTGCCATTGTTATCACATCGTTTTTGTTGTTGGTTTTGTTTTCGTCCCTATTGCTGTTGCTGCTATTGTAGTTGTTGTTGTCGTTGTTGTTGTTGTAGTCATAACAAGGTAAAAACGCCTGCGGTGTTGTCATAAATAATTTTCCAAGTTAACAAAGTTCAAATGCAAAGCCAAGTTATCTGCTGTGTCACTTGAAGTTCGTTGTTGTAAATTAAATCATAACATTCGTGAACATAATAAATTGTTATATACACAGTTTATATGTCCGTACGTGGGGTGAAATGTGAATTTCTCAGTATGAAAGTTCACTTGACCCAACTAAAAAGGCAAAAAAAAAACAACAAAAAAGTGAAAAAACCGAATAAAATATCATCAAAAATAAGAAAGATGTAAAAAGGTAACAGGATTCCTTTTTACTTACCCCCAAAATAAGGATGATCGAATGAAATATAAGTTCGTGAAGGAATTGTATGATTAAGTTCATAAAATTTTAAGAAAGCTATCCTAAGTACTTTTAAGAAGAAAATTGAGATGATTAATTGCGGTTGATTTTGAACGTAATAAATTATGTGGTAATTAGATTTATTATTAGGAAAATATACAATTTATAAGTAGATACTTAGCAAGTCGTTAACATTTTGGAGTCTTAAGTCTGTTTAAAAACAGGACATTAGGAAACTGTTTAAAGTTTTAAATTTAAATTATCAAATGTGAAATATGAAAATAAAATCCTTATTGATTACTTAGCTGAAAGTTTAAATTGGGTATTAAAAATTAAGCAAAAGATATTTATCATTTATATTATTACGGATAATAAAAGGTTGGCTTATTAGGGTTTTCATAATATTATAATAACGTGCTTCAATAAGCCTGCATAAAATATTGAAACCCAAAACGAAATAAGAAGGCACTTTTCAAATTAACGAACATTTTGCAGATACTTTATCTTTTGCTTTTTATTTAAATAATTAATTTATAATGCCAAAACCATCAATAAGCAGACGATGAAAATTTATTTTTAATTTTTTTTTAATTTGGTCTTTTAAATTGTTAAATTTTTATTTATCTTTGAATAAAATTATTTGTCTTCGTATTCTCAATGTGAATATTTTGCAAACATTCTGCGAACAAGTAATAGTTTTGGTTAATTTTATGGGAATAAAATGTTGACACATTTTATAAAGACACAAGTATCTGATCATGCATGATATGAGGATAACCTTTAATACAGAGTCCAGCGTGATTAAAGTGATTACCTGTCATGAAAGCCTAACACCACAGTATTCTGAACACACGTATCAAGATAATACGCCTATGAACGTCACATTGGCATTCCAAGGAATCACCACCAGTACTTAAGAAAGTTATGTGTTTGACATAACTTTCCATGGGTAAGGAGCAAGGCCTACCTAACTCCTCTAGTAATTTTTGGGTCAATGCACCCGGGTGGGAAATGCAAATCCACATCAAATGAACGGAAATAAGTACAATCATTCTACCCGTGTAATCGCCGTCATAACCTATCTACCCAGCCTTCCTATCCATGTAAGTTTAGGTTTTAATCACAGTCACCAGCAATAGGGACAGCAATAGTATCGTAGTGGTACCGGATTCACACTTCCGGTCGGTTGCCACAAGTGAAAACTGACTCACTATTATTTTCACCGCAAATAATGTTGCATTTGTCATGAATTTTAGTCGCCTATTGCCAAAGGCATGTCTTACCTCGGAAGTTTACCTCGCCGGAGTAAGTCTTTAATACGATTGAAGATTAACTAAGTGATGGAAAACAGATAAGTTTCAATTAATATGTTAGATCGAGTATTACTAAAGCACCATCTAAATTACCAATGGAAATAGATTGTGTGTCAGTTATATTGATACATATTTATTGTCATGTATAGATAACCCAAAAAAAGCATTTAGCATTGGATTCTACATACCTATATATGGTTAAAACATTTCGGAGACATAAATTCTTTTATGTAGACAGAAGTATCTGATTACGTATGGTATAAGGATAATCATTAGTACCACCGAAAGATTTACCAAAAAATGTAAAACCGATAACTATAAGTCTATATGTTTATATCGTCTATATCGTATATTGTCTATATCGTATGCTACTATTATTATTATAATTATTATTAAAACTATTGTCGTAAAATCGCCCAACAGCCGATACTGCGGCAAGAAGAGTCCTATTGTACCAAATTTCACTTTTAATTACAAAAAGCCCTTTAAAGCTTTGTTAACAAAATCTAAAACTAAATTTAGCATAAAGTTTTTAATCTATTTTGGTGAGAGAATAGTTGTTCAATGAGCTGTTGAATTACATACATAATTATATTCTCCGGAATAGTGTTAAGTAGTTCACTTAATAATAAATTATTTTAGGCTTAATACGTCAATCTTTTTGCATTATACTGCATCTCCAAAATATGTGTCGTGTGTAGCAAAGTCAGGCTCTATGAAGACTCTTAAAAGTACCATGGTGCATTCTCAAGAATGACATGCTAAGAGACCTTAGAATAGATCCAGTCAAAAAATACATAAGGGACAGAGCCCTGAAGCTATATGCGAAAACCGACAGGCTGCCCTACTTAGCACTATCTAATCTCAGAGTAATCACTAACCGCACGGGGCGGTACGCAGATCTTAGATCAATCATTGAATAATCACGAAACTTATGAGGAATACACAAGTTTATCAGTAAGATAGGTTGGACTCTGCAGAAACCCCCCAGCTATCAAAGTGTAAAAGTGTCCATATGCACTAACTTGGAAAAGGCTCAACATTAGACAATAAATAAATTAATTATAATTCTGAGTGTGAATTGCATATCTTTTACTTTTAAGTACACTATAATTAATTTAATTCATTGAAAATAATTGAGATAAATTTCATTCGAAACTGATCTACTTTAGTACTTATCATACTCGTACTTGACGATTCAATCTGTATTTCATTTGTTTTTCTGATTTTAGTTCAATATTCTTAAAATTGAAATTAAATTTGCCAAAAGTCTGCAGCAAATGATCGTTTCAGTGGCGACACTTGGTGGGCCTGACACCGATTGGTACACAGCCATTCACGTACGGCTACATGTGCATTTCGCTTGAAAATATCGAGCAATGGAAACATGTGTCGGAGCTATGCGCATTTAATGATGCGTCAAGTGAGATTTTGATGAACAGAAATTAATGACGACGGCAATGAATGCTTCCAGAGTGTGAAATCAATCGTAATTTTTAGAATAATTATTCCCACAGGAGTAACATAAACGAAGCAAAGTCGACAAATAAATACAAAATGATAAAATCAAAGTGACTAACAGTAAAACATACATGACTTTATACTATAATATACACTTATATACCACATATATATTTATTTCGATAAAAATGAAAAATTGAAAAAAAAATACAGCAATACATATTAAATGGTTCAGTTGAGCTAGGAATATTGACGTTGAAGTGTCACAGCACAGATAAAATTGCAAATACGTTCAAGCATCATTTGGAAATCATAAATGCGCACGAAATCAATTTGAAACTGAATACGTCCGAGGAGACTCAATTAATGTTTCGGAAGATAACTAAATTGTCAAAATATTTAAAAACAAGCTTAGAAAATCGCTGTTTTAAGTGAAAATAAATTTTAAAACATTTGACAACGTCCAATGCCAATTTAGTTGCAACACTGCGAGCAACAAGTGTGCATGTCCGAGCGCAGATTGTGGTCATGGATTTCTTCGCTGCCGGTGGTTTTCAGCAATTATTCAGTGACTTGAACGAACAACCAATGGATTTTGATACGGACACCACAGATGCATGTGCATTTGGTGTATTGGAGCATGATGGCGCTGTTGCTGCGAGCTATGAATGTGTACAACATTTTGAACTAAACGTTGACTATGATTTCTACGATAACGCGAATGGATTGGAAACCACGAATAATGTTGATTTCATGAATTACGCTAATAGCGATGAAGTTTCTAATACTGAACTGCCAGATACATTTTTACTGGATTTAAATATAGCAAATCAATATAATGCTAAAGACTATAACAACAATGTTAATGAATTTGAGAAATATAGTGAGAAATCATTGCAATATAGTCTAGATTTACTATTACCCGCAGATGCAACGCAAACACAAATTACCGATTTGGATAAAGAACTTGAGGCTGATGCATTAATTACACAGGAAATAGCGGAATGGGAAGAAAAATTTTTAGATAATTATATTGAAATACCAGAATTAATAGAAATTTTGCCTGAAAAAACACCACTCTGCACAGAAGTGTGTGAGTTGTTCTTGGAGGAAAGTTCGCAGAATTTAAAACTTTATCGCAAAAAACGTTCCAAACCAAAACTAAAAACAAAAACAGAAGATAATGATAAAGGCTATCAATGCACTTATGACAATTGCAGAAAAATGTATGCTAAGCCCGCACATCTCAAAGCGCACATACGTCGGCATATGGGTGAGAAACCCTATGCTTGCACATGGCCTGATTGTACGTGGAAATTCTCGAGATCCGATGAATTGGCACGACATCGTCGTTCACATTCTGGCATAAAACCTTATAAATGTGATTATTGTACAAAATGTTTTGCGCGTTCAGATCATTTGACGAAACATCGAAAGGTACACGAGAGACGTCTACTAGCAGCGACTAAGGCTGGTAGTGCGCTGAATGGTGTTATACCACAAAGTATCCTTACAGTACGACCAGGCAGAAAGCGCAAAAATCAATTTTAAGTATTTGTGTTAGACAATATTATTTAATCGCTATTGATAGTAAGAGTATGAGGTACATAAGTAATTTAAGTTGACAAAATTTTATTATATTTTGTAATTGTAAATATTAAATAAATATTTTTAATTTTTATAAAACTCTTTAGTTGCTTTTACTAAACTCAAATTTTCCTTCTTAATGCTTATAATAACCATTTTTATGTGACATTTTCGATTTTGTTGTAGGCAGCTCCATTGATTCCGTTTCTCTTATCTTTTACTCATTTTATGAACTCATAAATATCAAATCAAATCAGTTGTAAAAATTTATACTTAAATTCAATTTCTTTTATTTAATGCCATTTAATGTTCACCAACATCTAAAATTTATCATAAAGTACCATTTAAATAGCAATGTAATTCAATATTTCATTGTAAGTAAAAGTCCTAGTCCTAGTCCTAGTCCTTAATAATTACCCTCGCTGTCATTATTGGTTACTTTTGTATTCAGTCAAAAGGAAAAATGCACGGCGAATAGCAACAAGAAATAGAAGCAAACAAAATTATTAATGTTATCGCATTACTTCCGTTTCATTTGCAACTTTGCTACAATATCCTGCAATTTGCTTCTTCTGTTTGCTTCTGTTTGCTGAGCCTTGAATTCAATTTAATTCAAACTTTTGCCGATCTTAATTTCGCGATATAAGGAACGCGGCACAAATCGAAATCATATTAAAAGTGCAACAAAATTAAAGAGAAGCTATAAACCAAGAAGAAACGATTTCATAAAATATTGTATATGAGAAATATTTATCTTATTTTTAAAATTTTATATACGAGTATTTATTCTTACCTTACCGTACGCCATTAAAATCGATTTTGCAAAAATATAAATCTAAGGTGTGCATATTTCATATCTAAATACTTTCGTACCAGTGTCACTTGTTCGGAATTACTTTATGTTGCACAATATTTTTATGACTTTATATTGTATATTGTTTTATAAATCATTGATAACACAAATTATTATTTTTTTTTCTTAATGTGAAATACATCATAAATCAAAGCACACATTTAGAGTTCATAAAATGCTGTTTCTGTTTTTGAATTGATTGAAACTGATTTTAATGTTCCTCAAATCGTTTATTTATATTACACTGAACTCAATATCATACTTTAATATTATTGCAAGTATATAATAAAGAGACCATTAATTGAAATCTGCAGTACAGATATTGAATTTATTAAAGATTCCGCAAAAACATCTGAAATAATATTTCTAGATACAAATTTTTTATTGAGCCATCGTTGAGTGTATTTACGCCATTTGGCGAAAGCCAGACAGAGACAAAGGTGATTTGTCAGGCTACAGTATTTTTATATATTAACGTATTAAATCATTCATCCAATATTTATACTTTCCATACAAAATTCATACGAAACCATAATTTCGTAGTTTCGGCTTATAATTCAGCCTATAAAATGCTGTTTTTGTTTTTGAATTGATTAAAACTGATTTTAATATTCCTTAAATTGTTTTTTTATGTTACATTGAACACAATATCATACTTTAATATTGATACGAGTATATTCTAATGAGACCTTGAAATCAGCGATACACAGGTATTGAATTTATCTAAGACTCCACAAAAATATCTGAAATAAATATTTCTGAATACGCGTTTTTACAGCATTTGTAGCCGGCAACTACAGTGCCTAAACGAATTTTATCACAACTAAAGGAATCAATCAATTATTTCACAATAATGGATATACAATATCCCGACTGAAACCAAGCCCCACAAAAGTGAATCATTAAACATCATCCTGCAACACCTAATAAGCTATCAAGGCTAAGTGATAAAACTTGGTATTATATTAGCTATCTGTTTGGCGATAATAATATTCCAATGTTTTCTTGTTGACTTAAATATTTTTTAAAAGATTATCGAACTCTTTTTTAATTTTAAATTATATGTTTATTAAAAACACTGCTTAATTTCTAAAAAATGTAACTTATTTAATTTAACTTATCACTAAGTGACGCTCGTCATATATATACATAAATCATTCAATTCAACTTGAACCTTTTGTTATACCAAAGTTTATATACTATATGTACTTGTATACACAAGCATTTATTCATATTAATATATATGAAAATATATAGGCACGCTAACTCTTCCAGGAGACCCCAATACGGAACTAGGAAACCACTTTATCGCTTCAATGAAGTAGGCAACTTCAATAATGCCGGTGCCAGTGATATCGGACAAACTTTTTTAAAAGGGAAACCCTAGAGTGGTTGTATCCTGTTTTGGCAAATATCAGGCAATGATGTGCGCTGCATTGTTTCTATATTAAATTGCAAAGCCATTGTACAAAATTAAATACCTTATATACATACGAGTTGAAGGTGGTTTTATAAATATTTCATTTATTTTATATACATGGTTAATACTGAGAGGTTCGAAACAGTGATAAATTGTAACAATAAAATTTTTATAATTTTTAATTAATTGAATTTTTGACTGTTTCAAATATTACCAAATACCCATTATCAGTGGTCTTTTTAATTTATTTCTTATATTTAATTATTCATAAATAATTTTTTAACACTGCAAGTACCAAGGGTTGAACCCTTCCAAATTTAGAGCACAGAGTCAGCGTTCATTAGCCAACTGACCTAGAAACTTACTTGACTTATATGTTCGAAAATGGAATTTTGTTAATTTGTTATGAAAACTCATTAACAAATTGATTTGCTGTGTTATATTAGAACGAAATTATAAACTAGTTGCAAAATAATTAAATTAATTAATTATAAACCCTCTTTCTCCAATCTCTCTTCCTATATTACTGGTATGCTGTGGAAATTTTCTCCATTCATTCCTGAGAGGTGGTTTTAGTGGGTTCATTAATTAATTATAGTTATTATAGTTTTATAGTTAGTCGTAATTATAATTTTATTATATTTTTATATTATAGTTTTAATAGTTATATTTCAATACTATTCTTATGTAAAGGCATTATATATTACATCAGTTAATATTATTCTTTATTATGTATGGAACCTAATCTAAGAACGTAATACGAATACATGCTAATATTAATCTATGATTCGTACAGGCAACACAAGAAATTGAATAGTATTTTTTATTTATTTTTATTCACGTTCTATATTAAACTTGATTTTTAACGTCAATTATGACGAAAATAAATATTTAATAGAAACTATTATATTTAATAGAGAGGTTTCTCGAACAGCAGTGAATTGCAACATCAAAGTTTTTATTATATTTAATCAAGTGAAAAATTTCAAAATGCAATATTTCAATGCTAATTTATTATTGTTCTTTCTAGTTTTTGAATTTTTAATTTTTTTTCACACTAATATTTAATTTAAATACGAATTCAAATATTTCGTTTAACTCCGTTTTGGAAATTGTTAATTATTATGAAACACCTCTTCAAAATACAATAATAACTTAAATTGACTTTAATGAAATTTTTCCATTTATTTAATTGTTCCATGACTTTAGTTCATCTTGTGTATTTTGAAGCTTCTTTTGTGAGTCTACTTAAGGCTACGTTCACAATATTATTTCCAAATTAACGAATATTTAAAAATCAGTCTCGAGTTTTATGAAACCATAAATATAGCTTAAATATATGTCAGTTTACAATTATTAGCAATTATTGTATATTAATATGCATAAAATTTATTTGTTCAAATTTTCTACCTACAATTATTGAAAAATTCAGATATTGCTTCAGTGAGCAAATTGCAAATTTTTAAATATATGTGAAATTGAATGTGTTTTTTCAACATACTGTACTAATATTGCATTTATTTCAACTACAATAAATTTTTACAATAATAGTCATTTAAAATTGTTAAACTTTTAATCGAAATTTTTGCTAATAAATTGACCAAATATTATGTTTTGGCATAAAAAAGGCAATAAATTTTATTGACTACAAAACTTTATAAAATAAGAAAATCCTAAAAAAAAAAAATTAGTCAATAAAAACAAATCTGAATTTACATTAAAATAGAATTTAATTTGCGGTCCACACTTTGTTCTATTTGTAACACCAGAAAATTTGCCAGCACAATATGTCAGTGAATTTGCAATTTGACTTATTTTTTATGCAAATTTCAGAAGCCAATTTTCAATAACAAACGAAACCACAATATATCGAAATTTATTAATATTTTGAACACAGCAGTTGGCAATTGAAAGTTCAAAATTATGCCCAAATATTATTACTACCAGTATTATTAGGAGAGATGGACGGGCACGTGCACCCACAATACTGGAAAAATTTTGTAATTCATATTTCACATAACCACAAAGAAGAATAATTTTGAAAACAATAATTATATTTAGAAATTATGGTAACTAACTTAATTAGAATCCTTTGCAAGTCCAAAGTATAATAAAAGCAACCAGCCTCAGCCTACTGCCCTACAATACTAATAATGCGAAAACATAATAACAAATCAAAAATACTTTGTAATAGAAGATGTAAGCGGATTTTATGACAAAAATACTCAGGCAAAAGCAAAATATTGACACAATGACAAAATGTTCACTTATTTTACCACTCAAAATACTAAAAATACTAAAAATATTAAACGAAAAAGTTGAGAAATAAACCATAAAATGAAAAATGAAAAGTCTTTCAAAATAACACGCGCACACGTAAATTTTTTTCAATATCCGCTTCCGGTCATGAATATTAATTCTGCAAACTAAAAAAAAAAATTCATTCATTGTTGACTTGGTATGTTGGCGTTTTGATTTCAGTTCATAAACCTACAAAATGTCAACAACAAAAATTACAAAAATAATAATAACAACAATTGCAGCAGCAGCAGCAACAACAACAGCGACATCAACTTTAGTGGCAACAACATCGGACAAAAGTCGTAGCAGCAATCACCAAAAAAAAATTTCATCAATGGGATTTGATGAAAAAATAACACACAAAACAAGTCGCCACCTGCTCTTATCCGAACGTTCTTGACTACCGACCAATGGTGCGCTAAGGATAATAATTTCGTACTGAACAAGGCTTCTGTTATTGTAAAAATACAAAAAAATTTGAAACAAAAATATTTTCAGTAAAGAAATGTGCGACATTGTTAAGCCCTTAAATAACCAAAAAAAAAATTGTTTTACCAACGAAAAATTACAAAATTGCTTGTAAGATACAAAAAGACCGTAAAAATTTGCAATAAATGAAACGGTAAGCAAATCATTTATAAACTTTAATTTCGAGACCTCCATCACAGACTGAAATGTGTTTTTTTAAGTAATGGGAAATACAAAAGCACGTCTACAAATCTACTGTACGGATGTGCTATATACAGCAAAATCTTAAATACTGCCATAAAGCAATTACAGATAGCACAAAACCTGGCTTTAAGAAGGCTATTTAAGATTCCATGGTATATTAGAACAACAGACATGCACAGAGATCTAAGTATCGATTCAGTGAAAAAATATATCAGGGACAGAGCCCTAAAATTATTTACAAAATTTGATATGCTGCCCAACCGCGCCCTACAAACCTAAAGTCCATTTCAGAACACAGGAAGAAAGATATACTGACCTATGATCCGTCACCAAATAAACAATCAATAAATGATATGAATTCCAGTATAGTTAAAGGTTAGTGTGGGACAGGAATAAGCCCCGAAGCCACAAAAAAGTACAAGTTTACAATAGCACTAACTCAAGAAACCACAACAACATATCTATAGAATGCAAGAAAATATAACCCACAAACAAAGCCATGAACATCAAGAAATGTATACTCATATGTTAATTAAAAAATATTTTTAAACGCTATAACGTTGGTTTAGTAAATCGTGTTAAGTTCATCAAAATACATTAGATAGAAATATCAGAGAGGATATAATATACATATATCAACATTTTAGTTTTCTGTCTTTTAAAAAATGTATTATTTTTGACACATATGATTATTATTATTATTATTTAGAAGAAGGTATACATATTACACTGCGACCTAAAGGAGCTAAGTCCTATTTCTTAAATAAAATACAATATAGAACCTATCTCACCGAACCTTAAATCCCTATGTTCCATGTAACACCCTCCTAGGTGTTTCTTCCGTTTCTGCATCAGTGCTGGATATTCCCCTAGCATATGTTATGCGGTTTCTCTCTCTTCTCTACAGTATCTGGAGTCGAGATGTATTGGAATCCTGGCTTTGTTACGTGATTATTCAATCTACCGGTTAGTATTTCCGTAATAATTTTTAAGTTATTTTTTGTTTATTCTATGCAATCCTTGAAGTGTTTTAGGTAGTAAATCCTTAAAACCATTTTCCCAATATAATTGTTTTTTCTTTTCTTCTGAGCCGTTCATAAGAAGAGATAGAGTGCCTTTGCCTAGATCGCAGAAAGGTTCTGGACCTATCATCATTAAAGACCCAAATGATATTTTAATATCATATATTATGATGACAACATAACAAGAAATTCATAAACATAAGAGAACAGACGCGAACTCAACGTTAATCTCAGAAAAGTTCACAGAGCTTATGAGATACTTCATTTCACCAAAAGTTCAAATGAATTACAATTTTATACAAATGAAGAAGCAAAATTATTTAAAAACTATAACATTGTATTATTATATATGTTAACTACTATTAATGTAACTAGTAAAGAATATAGAACGAGTTTACTAGCCCTTGAGACAGAGTACACAAATCAACGCGTATTAAAGCATCTAACCTAGTTTACTGGAACTGTTGAGTAATAAAGTAATAATGAATTGAGCGCAGACATTGAAAATAATCGAGAGAAAACGTCTCTATCGGGTCTTTCGGCTACTATGAGTTTACGATGACCACCGTACACAAACTACGAGCTTTATCACAAGCTTTAGAGAAAAAATCACCTTGTCAGATCTTTGGTTTTCTACAAGTTACCGATGACTAAAGCAACCGAATAAACCACAAGTTTAAAGAGCTTTAACACAACATTATCACTGTTCCGTCAATCAACACTTAATGTCTTTATTGGCATAAGCATGGCATGAGCCGACACTTGGTCTCGTTCTTGATGTACTAAACTGGAGAAGAAAGCACGGGTTTCATCATCCTTGCCACTAAAACTAACGGTACTGGTCTACAATAAGATCATTGATACAAAAGTCATCTGTAACCGAAAGTCGGCAGAAGTTCTTATCCGCATCTGATATGAGATTCTCCAATAATATTTAAATGTGAAAAAATCATAGTAAGTGGCACCTTAAATTCATAGATATTTGTAGGTACAGCTACTCTTCATATAAAAACAAAATGCCATTCTTTATAAAAATTACTGTGACCTGATTTATTATTTTGTGTCAATTTAGAAATTCATAATAGATTGCTAACTTATTTAAGTAGTCATTTAATGTACATTCTACTGTAGATATGATTTCATAACATTATATACATTATTATAATATACACTATTATTGAATTCATTTTTATCATGTATATAAAAAATTTGTTATTAAACAAAAAATATGATCAGGTACAATAATCGACCTTTATTGGCTTTCTTGCTTTCTTCATCAATGCCAAATTGAATCTAAAACAAAAGTTAAAATAATTTAAATGACAGATTTATATATTAAAAAGACACAAAAATTTGTATCTGACTTACTTAAATCTATCGCAGGGTTGATGAATTTCATGTATACAGTTCTTTCCACATCTTTTATGACTGTTTAACTTATTCCTTATAATAACACAAGCAACTTTATTAATAGTATCCATATATTCGGTTACTAAATATCCCTTATTAATATCCTCCTCCGGTTCAAGTTTAGGCCTTTTTGCTGCTTCTAAAGCCGTATAAAATTCTTGATAAGGTCTGCCACACCTAGGTATCTTATATGGGTGACACAAAATTTCTCTTAGCACTTTTGCCTTATGAGATGAATCTGCTTCAAGGGCTTTTGCATGTTTCTGCACATCCATTTCTTCCTCGAATGGACCTTCACATTTATCGTCACCAAATTGCATTTGATACGATGTTTTATAACGAGGCCGAGAAAAGCGTCTCAGGTAGTCATCTCTTAACATGAGCTTAAGACGAATGTATAACTCTGGATATACTTTTGCCATTATATCAACAAACTCAGCAGGAGACTTTATATTGTGCACCTTTCCGCATCTATTGTATTCAGCCATCTGTTCTATTAGCGTTGCATTCATATCTTCGATTTCAAATAATTGTCTCTTTTGATCGTCTAAATCGAATTTTTTAGTTTCCTCATCAACCTCTCTAATCGGAATATTTTGACGTTCGACAAGTCGACCCATTGGTGCATTACCAGTCCATTCAATATCACGATATTTTTCAATATTAACAGGTGGGAAACGTGTTAATTTTCTTCGTGGTCTGTAGCCGTGAGGACAAGGCCAACCGTAATCATGAACATACGAGGTCTCCATAGTCAAAAACTTTAAATTTATTGCGAAAGTAAATAATTTTGATTTAAGATAAACTTCTTAAGAATATTGTTTGAAGTTTTCAAAATAAAAAAAAATATTATTATTAAATAAAAAGAAATATTTCAAATAAACTTGTCTGTGATTACTAGATATATACAATTAATTAGGTTTTCATTTTTAAAAAATTTTTGCTTTATTTTAATGATTTGAACTTAAAAACTGTAATTATTATTAACACTTTAATATTACAAGAAACTTACTACATCATTGTAGCTATTACCCAAAAGATTTCCTAAATTTACAACACAAGACATTGATGTTTACTGTTAGCATGTAGTGTCGTCAAGAATAAAACTGAGGTTGTTGGCAGGCTATTTGATAGGTCATCATGGTCTGCATTATTGTCTTAATTAGATGGATTTATCTTTTTAATGTCTTCTCTTCTGAAAAGTTGATGAGACTTCTAGTAACATTGTTTGCGATTGTCCAGGTTTGACCTGAGCCAAAAGGGTCTACTAGCTCGGCAGTTTCTATCCTCGTAAACAGTTAAAATGTCCCCAATATGTGGCAGTAACAGTCTCCACATACAATGTAGAAGAACTCTAGCTCGAGCTGTAAAATACTGTAAGATAAGAAATGTTTAAATCTTTTTTTGTAAACATATTATTACGTTGTCGGTGTTTGCAGTACATTTTACATTTTAACTGCTTGAGATACTATTCTTTAATATCATAGTTTTATCAGTACGCTAAAACGGTCTCGGGTGTACAAAGCCACTGAAAAACAATGGAAAAAAATAGAAAAATATTTTGGGATTGATGGTCATTAGAATATCTACAGAATAACAAAACAAATATAATTAAAAAGTACCTTGAAATAATATAAAACCAGACAGTTTTGTTCTAATAAAAGAACACGAAGTTCCTCCAATGAATTGGAAAAGAGAAGTGATGAATTGAAGTGATGAAAAATGCGGTATGATAGCCGTAAGGACAAGCACTGGCATACCTAAAAGGTCGATACACAATGTTTGTCCTTTTCTTACAAAAGACTCTGAAGGTAATATCTGAATGTTATCTGAAAGTTAAAACTGAAATCGCTCAAAAATAGATTCAAATGTTAGCGTCTTATTTATCGAAGTGGAATATTATTTTTTCAGTAAACAGCTAACAGTTTATTGCAATATTTTATACGTTATATATTTATTAGTAATTTTAGTATTAGTAGTAACTTTAAATAATTTTCCAATTTTCTACAAAAATTCATACGAATATTTAAATAACACATTCATCGCATTAATTAAATAGTTAAAAGGAAATATTGCTTTTAAGTTTCTCTAGCTTAAGTATATCTTACTTGTATTTACTTATACCTTAATAGAAATGTCGTAAATATACTATAAAGTATTTTCCTAAACAACCACAAACTTTAACGAAGCCAGTTTGTTCCTTTAATCCAGTAAAAGTTTTAATATTTTATTCAATTATGAAAGTTTTATGCTATTTTCTATAAAGAAAAATACCAACACCACTTCTTAACTTTTCATAGACCTACCAATTTCGAGTGTACTTAGTTATAAAATAGTAGCAAATTATAAAGGTTTCATAGTCTTTGTGGTGAAAACTTTTAAGTGTAGCACATAGCAAAGTAAACTTTTTTAATTATTTAGTTTAAAAAAAGCTAACTCATATTTTAAATAATAGCAGTAATAAAAGATTTATTCAAGTAGATTGAAGAAAAATATTTACTTTTCATAAGGCAAATAAACTAAAGTATCTCAGCTTAACAAGACTTAAAGCTCTGAACAAAAATTAATTTAGAAATTTATTTTACACAAACTGATTGAGTACCAGATTAGTAAAATACACTTTCATTGCATATAAAATAAATTAGTTTTGAAAATATTTTAAGTATATTAAGAATTATAAGAGTTTTAGAAGTAAGTAAAGTTATCTGTGGCTTTGTCAAAGTTTACTTTAATGCCCTTCGTACAGAGTAATTAAAAAATTTCCAATAAATAAGTAATAATATTATATGAATAGCAGTGACTGGCACTTAAATTAAGTAAAAATATGTTAAAAATAAATTTAGTTTTAACTGAAATACTCTACAACAAAGGCTACTCACCAGAGAAATGTCAAAATGAAAAGATATATGCGTAGCCCTACTCTTACCCGTTTTAAAACGATTATAGTCATGTTAGGCAGCCAACCAAATAATTATCGATCCCAAATTTTGTTATTGTATAAAATAGAAAATTGAAAGCATTGAAAGCAACAACAAATATGATTATCAACGATCTTTTCATGTCCTATTACCTACATAATATGACCCTTAAGAAATTTTGGTTTTATGATATAATCCTTCATCACATTATAGAAGAATATTCACTATGTCAATTGGTGGAAATAAAATATACGAAAGACTGGAATATTGAAAAAACTGAGACTCCTCCTAAATTAAAGCGCCAAATTATAATAATAAATAAAAAAATTTCATTAAAATAAAAAAAATAATAGGATAGGAATAAAAGGAGTACTAGCTCCCGACGGAGCAGAGCACTAGGGCCAGATTGATCTTTTGTGCTGAAAAAAAAAAAATAAGTTTGTTACAGCTTTTCATGAATATGGTCACATTTTGAAAACCATCTTTGTGGTTAAATAAACGAACTTTATATATATAGACCAAAAATTTTTCTACTCTGCTATGTTAGTTTACTACTAACATAAGTTTAGTAGAGTCGAAGTCACTACTAAATTAATAGCATAAATGAATGAACTTAACCTCTAATCAGAAGATGTGAGATTTCACATATTATTGTAATTATTTAAATTACAAATCCTTTCGAAAATTTGTTATTTTTATAAATCCGACTTGTTCTGAAGTCGAGATAAAGGCTTGTCTGAAAACACAATGAAATTAATTTTTTTAATGAATGCAGTATTATTTGTAACCGCATCTAATGACCACAAGAAGTTACATATGATATCTAGTAAAAATAACTTTTTATCTCATAAATTATTTATCAGACTATAAATATTGATAAAAAACATTGAGGATAATGAGGAAACTTATCGTTCATTAAGATATTTATGCATCGCAACATCACTCCCAATGTTCTGAAAAACACATAAGCATCTAAACTTCAAAAGCTGCCTAAAGCAGAAAGGACACTTAAAGTCGAGATGCTGAATGACAACTGCTTCAGTAAACTACTCATCATTATCATCATTGACCAATACTCTATAACAAATCAACACAATGCGGTAATATTTATATTGATGAGTTTATATACACAGTTTCTATTCCAATAACGAACTAGATAATCTTATTATATATAAATCTCGTGTCACTCTGAAACCGTCCAACTGATTTTAATACAATTTTGTGAATGTATATCATTGATTCCCGCTTAATATATAGGATAGTTTTGGATCCGTTAGGTTGTGCTTTTATCCTCGGGTAACAAGACCGCATATATGTATATATATTCTTCTGTTAGATTATTTATTGAAACAATGGTCAATATCTAACATAGTGATATGCTAAAAAATTGGCGAATATTTACTATATCCATCATTGACAAGAATTGATACTTATAAATTGTGCAACACTACTTATTGTTTAAAAACAAAAGAGACGCTAAATAGTTATTGAGCAAAATATAAGTGCATTTCTTTATTTATTTCTAAACCAAAACTTAAAATAATTAAATACACTATGTTAATTAGGACAATCAGAGGCGAAAAAATATAGATAAAGACAAGCAAGGTAGGTAGAGACAAATCATAGTAATCATGGACAATCATAGATTTTCTGTTAATTCAACCGCACCAATCGCGGGTGAATAACAACAGATAAAGACAAGCAAAATAGGTAAAACGAAACGTTCAGTAATCATAGCAAAAAATAATGTTTATCACTAAGTTTAACCACACTTTTTCGGGCACTTGGGTTTTTTAGGTGGACATTTTGGCTTCTTTTTCTTTGGGCATTTTTTTGGACACTTGGGTTTGGGAACACGCTTCTAGATATTCAAAAATAATAAATTTATTTGTAAGAACCAAGAACTTTAATTAAAATAAAATAAATTACCATTTCTCTATACTTTTTCTTTTTGTCTTCACACAAACGGCTCCAACGCATATAACCCTTACGTACGGTTTCTACAGCATCAAGCCCAGGATGACATGCACGATATTCCCTTAAGAAATTAAGAAATCCGCGGCTAGTTAATGGTCCACCACGAGAACAACAAGGCTTGGGCTTAGGCTTGCAGCTAGGCTTCTTCTTTTTGCAACCCATATTTGACTTCTGCAGTCAACGATGAAACAACCAGCAATGTTATTTATTTTTAAATTGGCTTGATATTGAATTCAATCGTTTTGAATATTTCTCGTATATTAAACTTTTTCTTCTAGCCAGTGAGCAACAAGCAAGTAAGTTTTACTCCCTTTGCAAGTGTTAGTTCCTTAAATTTGCATTAGTTAAGAAATTGGCTTGTTTTAACTGAACGATAACTTTTAGTTTCTGCAGGAACCAATCAACGATTGAGAAGACTCTACTTTTTCTATAATATGCTTTCGTAAAGAACTATGGTCTTCTTATTGCTGAATAGCTTAAGTCTTTAATATCATGAAATTCTTCACCTCTTATCGCAAAAGCTAACAAGAAAATTTTGGCAAAAAATTTATTCTGCAAATGAAATCAAAAAAAAATAAAATAAACTTTAATGCAGATCATAACGCATATAATTACTAAATATAATCCTAATATCTTTACTCACAGATTTTTGACAATTTTTCTTCGGATTTGAAAAATATAGTTTTAATGTTAAAATATTTAGAACTGAAATTTTGGAAACACATTGATGTGAAATTAAAATATTTTAAAACCAGAATTTTATATTCTGAAGGTTAGTTTTAATGCTTGATGATTGTAATGCAATGAATAACTGATTGTTTTCACAAATATTTAAAATATAAAAATCTACATAAATTTATTTTAATCTATATAGTCAATAGACATTATAATTTTGGTACTTTCTGGAAGTGCCTTAATTTAAATAGTTATTACTTTCATATGGGTCTTTGAATATACCCGCACAAAAATTATTTTAATATTATTTATTATAGTTTTTAAAATTTTTTTTTAATATTTGTGTATCATAGTTGAAATGTATGATTAAAAATTACAGAACTTACGTTAAAACATAGCATTAACGTCCTGAAAATGAACTCCAAAATTTTGCACACTTCAAATTTTGCTTGTTTTCCAATATTCTGAGTTCAAAAGAATGAATGTTATTTTTAATAAATTAATAATGAAATTATATAGATTATATATAATATAAATAAAATACAACGAAAAATTTATAACATAAACATTTAAAAAAAATTAACGGCATTTGTCTTTCAATCTATCAGTCTTTTTTATTGGAAACCAAAATCTCTGCACTCAAATCAATTCATTTGCCATACAAAAAATCATCCAAAATTGATATTCACACACTAATACTTTTTCTATAATAAATAGGGAGGAGTTTTTATTATGTGGTTTTCTTGATGTATTAAGATATTACTTACGCCTTCGATATCACGTTAATAAACAGAATTAAACAGATATTTCCTAAATTTTAATAAATTCATAGAGTCCAATATATCATAATGCCCAACTCAAAGATTCTGAATGCTATGCCACAACAAGTCAGGATTGCTCCAAAGGCATATTATTGTCACTTAATTTGTGAATTTAGTTAATTAATTCTTTTCCAAATATTAAACTTGAAATTCAAGGCTTTGCAATTGAAGTGACTATTAAATTTATTTTAATTACAACCGAAAAGATTTAGTTACCATCAAACAATTCATCCTAGTACTAAAGTAAGTAGCGAATGTTCTTTTAAAGAAATGACGGGTTACCAACATAGCGTTATCGAATCTCACAATGGTTACAGGCGGGGAGATATGCAAATCTGAGGCCAGCAATTGCTTAGTCTGGTGAAATGATAAACAATAAGTCAAGGCGTAGAGAGGGGTTATGAAGAAACGTCACAGTTAATAGAGAGTAAAATTGCTCAAGAACACTGATTCAACTAGCCTCAAAATAATTAAAATATAAGTTTATGATACAGACATTTATATTCAGCATGATACATATTACTAAATAATCTTCGACATGGGGCTTTTAAAGAATGAGTACCTGCAGATGACTCTTAAAAAGACAACAAAATGCTTAATCCAGTAGTTAGTGCATTTTAGAAAACTTGCCATAAACTAAGCTTTTTAGTCATATAATTCTATGTGTTTATATGCAATTGAGTATATAATAAATAAAATGTTTTGGCATTTACCTCTCAAAATTCCGTTTGCCTTGAGTTTTTCCAAAATTTTGTCTATAATTGTCCAAAAAACGGGAGTAAAATTTTTGGAACGAATTACTCAATATGTAAATTACATATGAAAAAAAAAATTTATCATCGTTCAGTTTAATAATAACATTTCAATGAATAGTTGTTTTTAAATAATTCAACTTGCTTATCAATAATTAATAATAATTCGAAAACCTTTGTCCGAAATCATGAAATTCTACTGTACCTCCTCTATGTGAGTGAACTCTAATACGAGTATAGTTCATGCTTAGTTTTTACGAAGCGAACATTTTACTCGCTAGCCAAAATAATAACAGCGTGTCTTGTGCGAAGAGACAAACATGATATTTTAAAATATGAGGGAATATGTTCACATGATATAAATCTAATTTAATAAATACAACTTATAAGATGTAGTGGTTTAACTCCTTGAGAGAAGCCGAGTATGTAATAGTGACAATTCCTCAAATATCGATCGACGGCTATATTTTATTTAAATCAATGTTCTAGAATTGTTAAGGTACTATAGGTCAAATCAAACCTACTCAATAATAGAGGACTAATATCTTCTTCCACTTATACGTTCAAATAAGAGAAACATCTGTTTAAAAAAAAGAAGAAAAAAGATTTATGTACTTAATGATTTAGTGTTGAGTAAAATCAGCATTGGAGAGACAATTACCATATGCTTATAATTAAACATTGACTAAAGAATTAAGTCAGTAGTTTTCATATCTTGTTCAGATATAATTGCTTTTATTATAATTAATTTTTTATTTTTAATAGTAAAGTAAAAACAATTTAAACAGTTTTGTAAAAAAGTGTACTAGATTAATACTGATTCAGTACAATTTTATTGTCCATCAGCAGTAAAAGGTTCAATGCAATTTTTAAGAAACTACTTTATTTCTTCAATTGAAATTAGTAGCAAATTCAACTACTTGAAACAGTTGAGAATATTTCTTACTAAATGTAAAAATGTAATAGCATATTTAAGATAATTTTTTTTTAATTCTTTAACTCCTAGGAGTAGCATAGGGCCGACAAAAACTAATAAACTAAAAAGATACTTCTATCTTTTACGAAAAAATACAATTCTCTATAGATACTTCAGCTATCCTTATTCTGCTGTTAAATTTTTATTTTCTTAATGTAAAAAGCTATAATTAAATTTACAATTAGTCAAAGTAATGAAAAACAATTATACGTTTATAAAACTATTTTCTTGTAGAATTAATCAATGATACTATTAATTTATCTTCACAAAAAAACTGTTGATTTAATACTAAATGAAATTTAGTTTTGAACAAGAGAATATAAAAAAGTTTAGTTGTATGAAATATGTATTAAATACCCTTCATGTATATATAATGTAAATAATTTGCATGATCACTAAATTTTCATATAGCCTATATATAGGGCAATATAAAGCCCTAAATCAATGTGCAATTAATGCGCCAGTTATAACTAAATATGAATTTAAATGTGTAGGATAGAGTAAAAATATTGGATAAATATAAATATTAAGACCTAACAGTAGTGATTCTGTTGTGATGTATATATATATATATCTATATCATTTATATCCAAAACTAATGTTTAATTATTAAATTAATGTGGAAACTTCACTCCTCAAAAATATTACTGCCTTATAATGATTGAATTCACATTCTTATATCCATTGCTCTAAATAATCAGATATTATGTCACTTTAAGAGCTTATTGTGAAAAAACTGTAGTTATTGCAGTTATTATCTCTAATTTAGTATTAAGAATCTGTTAAAGGTTAATAGATTAATCTTTTTCTGCTCTGTTGGAAGCTCCTATACATTATCTCGTTGTTTACTTATTACCTTTATAATCGAAGTCATCAGTCAAACAATCATTATAGTTTTTTGATAAATCTAATAGGCAGTAGCGAGGCGTCAGCTTTTTGGCAAGGTGTTCACAATTTAATCAAAACAGAATTCCAACTATAACGTATTCTCCCTACTTCTAAGTTTTGTCCTTTCCACAAGCAAATAGCGTACAAGACCAATAAAACAATTTATTTAAATGTTCGCAGCCTGTGATCCACTGGTTTTTATTTACCATAAAGCTATAGCTGTAGGAAAACGACGACTTACCATAGATTTCGACATTTTTACAACAGGTATCAAATTCTTCATATCTGGAGTTGGTTTATTCATTTTATGAATTAAAATCTTTTTTCAGAAGATCGTTTAAAAAATAACATTGAATCAAATTTTTAATCACACATTTATTCATTTCTAAATATTATTTTTCACTTCAAATTTCTTTAATCTCTTTCTTTACTTTTACCATTTTCTAGTATAAAATTGCAATAATGACTTTGTTTTGATTTATTTCCAACCTCTATATAAGAGTAAGAAACTCTCATGCATTCATTTACTCTTTTACTTTGTATTTACAATGCCCGGTTCAGTTTTTATACTGAACCATTTCCCCATATAAAACAGCAACCGTGACTTTGATTGTATTTGCACGCTTTGTATAAACTTTTGGTTCAGTTTAGTGGAATGATCCTCTCGTCAAATGTAAAGCGATTTTCGCTCAGTCATTTCTTTTCTCTTTTGTATTCCAGTAGAAAAAGTGGTCTTCGAAGACATTGTCTTCAAGACGGTCTTTGATACCGCGTCCGCATTTTCAAGCAAATTTGCAAAACAATTGCTCAAAACATGAATGTAAATACTCTTTCTTTGCTTTCTCTCTCATTTTTAGTGTTCATAGCAACGTATTTGAATTTTGCCTCAGATGACGCTATGTTTTATAAATGAAGTGACGCAATAATTTTGAAGTGTAGTGAATAAACATATTGTGAAATAAATATTAAAAAAATCAAAATGAATAAAGAAACAAAATCATTAAACTATGAAATATTAAAAAAAAAGAAATTAAATCAAAACAAATTAAATAGTGACTTAGTTCCTGAAAAATATATTGATATTAATATTGAAGACAATAATTCCAGTGAAAGTTGTTTTAGAAACGAAACAAAGGATGTTGAAAATAAAAAAACTGAAAACACTTGTGAAAAATTAGCTGTTATATTTAAAAAACACAGGATTAACAGGCGTTGTGGTAATGATATTTTAGAACTCTTAAGATCAGAAGGTTTAATTGTACCAAAATCCTTTTCAACGCTTTTGAAAACATATAAAACTTCAACAATAGATGATAGCGAAATGCTATAAATTATTTTATATTAGTTTTAGTTAATTTTAGATATGTTAAGTTATATTAAGTTAATTATTTAAATTAATTTTCACTATGTTTACTAGTTTTTACTAGTTTATTTTTAATATCTTAATAAAATTTATAATAATTTATAATAAAATTTATAATTTACTTTTAAAACTTTTAATTTTGAATGTAATGTAAGAAATTATTATATAAAATAAATAAAAGTACAAAATACAACAATTTCTTTCTACTTATTTAAAGAGAAAATTGAAATTCATTTAAAATTTAAAGAGCGCAATAAAAGAGTAGAAATAAAAAAAGGGTGAAAAAATTATATGAGCACTGCACTAAGAGCGCACAACTTTCTGTCGAATGCGTCCGTTATGCAAGACATGGTCTTCGAGACGGTCTTCGAGACATGTACACAAAAATTCATTGAAGACATTTGGCTAATTTGTATGAAAGTGTCTTCGAAGACCGTCATACATTTGGATCGATCGGTCTTCATGTATGTATCCATGTCTTGAAGACGTCTTCGATGACGGATCGATC